GTTACACCCACCATATAGCCCTGATCTCGCGCCATCGGATTACCACTTATTTCGATCCCTGGACAACTCCCTTCGCGGTAAAACTTTTAACGATGATGACGCTGTAAAATCTCACTTAACTCAGTTTTTGGCCGAAAAGAATCAGACTTTCTACGAGCGAGGAATTTTCAAGTTGTCAGAGAGATGGCAAAAGGTCATCGAACAAAATGGAAAATACATTACAGATTAAACTCCATTACGAGTAAAAAAATTTTTTATTTCATTGAACAAATCGACAATTACTTAGTTGCCAACCCAATGTTTTTCGTACACGATTTCAGATCACCGTGGACCGAGCGAAGCTGACTACAGTAATGTCTCTCTTACTGACGCTCAGATTGTCCACAGACATGGACAATTTAGGAAGAGGAGATTATTCGAGCCTTGCAGCTCGTTTTTATAGTTGTTGACAATTCGTAATTATAAAAACAAACCGCAAGGATCGAATAATCGTCTCTCTTTTCCCTAAATTGTCCATTTTTGTGGACAATCTGGGCGTCAATTGGAGAGACATTACTGTAAGTTCTGAATTTATTGAAAAGACATCTATCAATTGATTTTATTAAGTTTAATATAGTCTTAGAATTATCTCAAATTAAGCGGAGCTAATGTAACTTTGTTCTACGAGGTAACGCAACTTCAAATTGCACGCACGAAATCGAATTGTCAACAACTATAAAAACTGTATAACATAATAAGAAGAAATTTAAGAAATTTTAAGAAATTTACTATGACAACTATAAATTACTGTATATGTATACGCTGAAGCATGCCTTTTTGGGAAGCCCTCGGGAGAACTGCCATAACCTACGCATTCCTGCATATTTTTAAATAAAAAAGCGATACGATTAGCAGTAAAAGGCCTGGTCTTTCGAACAAAGGACATTTCCGGGAGAAATTACCGTACGCTTACTCGTGATGCACGAATCGCGTGCTAATAATACGCGTAATTGCAAATAATGAAACCGAAACAGCCGACATTAGGATAGCGGAGCCGTTTACTGTGGGGTAGCCAATTACCGTGCCGTCAATTTATTTTCGAAACATAATTTACTTTATATTTCTCGAATGAGATATT